CGCAGCAGCAGCAGGCACCCTCATTTCGCTCGGCATCCTCGTCGCAGCAGCAGCAGCAGCATCAGCCCGCCTTCTTCAACAGTCCTCAGCAGGCTGGCTTTGGCGCACACGATGCATTCGACGTGTCGCAGCTGCGCGGCAACCTGCCCAGCGGATCGCGCGCTCCCATGCAGAGCCAGCACCGCGCATCGCCCGCACCCACCATGGCAGACATGGAGGCAAGCTTTCGACCTGCATTCTCGCGCAGCAGCACCATCCAGCAAGCTCCACGAGCGGCGCCCTCGGCTTGGGCTACCGATTTCCTCAGCGCAGAAGCTTCCCAGTCCAACATGCAGTCGCAGCAGCCGTCGCACCAGATGCATGCCGAGCCGCACGCCGCGCATGCCATCCATCCCAACGTCATCCCCATGGGCCTCAGGATGGGCATGATGCCCTCGTCCATGAACAACATGCAGTACGCTCCCAGCCCCATGCAGCAGCAACACACCGTGCAAGCCACTCCAGCACCCCAGCTCGACAATGCAAAGTGGGCAGAGGCGTTCACCGCCTTTGAAGCCTCCACCTCCTCGGCCACCGCCGCCGCCGCCACCGAACCTATGGCCGTCGACGCCAAACCCGTCGAAAAGGCCGACTACTCGGACCCGCAGGAGCGCGACGAGCTCGCACGCACCGCCGGCAGGCTCGTCGAGTCGGTCGAGCACGACAGCAGCTCCAAGTTCCGCCAGAGCAACTTCCTCGACCTCATGCGCAAGATCCGCGACAAGCAGGCGGGCATCCAGGGCGACAACATCGTCGAGACCTCCGACATTGCCAAGGGCAAGGCGCGCGATCTCGGCGCCTCTACCTCCACTGCCCAGCCGCAGTCGCAGCAGGAGGCGTACAACTGGGCCAACCAGATGGCCGCCTCGGGCAACATGCAACAGCTGCCGCCCAGCGTGCAAAAGTCGCTCGGCAGCAATTTCGGCCAGCGCGCCGACGTGCCCGAATCCGTACGCACCCAGCAGGAGATCCAGAACCGCCAGGCGCTCAACGACCTCTGGGCCGAGGAAGATGCCAGGAGCCAGGCGATCGAACGCCAGGCCATGGCCGAGAGCGCACGCACGGCGGCGTTTGTGGGCGATGGCGGCGACGTGGCGGAGCGCATGCGCGAGGACGACGCCGACGCGCGAGAATTCGAGCGATACCAGCGGCTGGGCGCCAACATCCCGCATGCCAGCACCTTCAACCGACGCTGGGAGGAGGACATGAATCGAGGCGCGCAGGACCAGATGGACGACGACGAGCTCGACTTTGTCGGCCGCCGTTGGCAGGGCACACAGGGTCGCGGCTATCCGGGCGCCCAGACTGCCGAGTGGGATAAACTGCAAAACGACTGGGACGACTTTGAGGTGACCTCGGCGGGCATCCGACCCGTGACGCTGCCGCAGCGTGGCGCCGAGACGACGGCGATGACGCAGCCTGCGCCGGCGTACCGCTTCCTGAGCGACAATCCGTACATTGCATCGACGTTCCACCATGCGCAGCACGCAGGCGGGCTGCCGGCGGGGCTAGAGTCGGTGCTCGAGAAGGAGGCGGCGGTGCAGCAGGATCCGCACGATGCGTCGGCGTGGTTCGACCTGGGCGTCAAGCAGCAGGAGAACGAGCGCGAGGTGCAGGCGATCGCGGCGCTGCGCAAGGCGCTCGAGCTGGACGCGAGCCTCAAGGATGCCTGGCTGGCGCTGGCGGTGAGCTACACCAACGAGAACGACCGCAGTGCGGCGTACGAGGCGATCGAACGCTGGATCGAAGGCAACGAAAAGTACCGCGAGGTGGTGCTGCGTGCGGATGCGGAGCTGGCGCGTGCCACTGCCGCTACGGGCCGCGACCGAAGCGACAGCGTATCGTCGCACAGCACCTCGGCTTCGGTGGCGGAAAAGCACACGCGGCTGACCAAGCTGCTGATCGCCATGGTGCAGAGCGGCGGCGAGAGCGGCGAGATTGATGCCGACGTCCAGGTCGCGCTCGGCGTCATCTTCAACTCGAGCGAGGACTACGACAAGGCGGTCGACTGTTTCTCCACTGCGCTCTCGGTGCGTCCGCAGGACTGGCTGCTGTACAACCGACTCGGTGCGACGCTGTCCAACTCGGGGCGAAGTGCCGAGGCGATTCAGTACTACCACCATGCGCTCAACCTGCAGCCCGAATTCGTGCGCTGCCACTTTAACCTGTCCATCTCGTGCCTCAACCTCAAGATGTACCAGGATGCGGCCGAGCACATCTACACGGCGCTTACGCTGCAGCAGGCCGAAGCCGAAACGCTCGGAACGGCAGGTGGGAAGGGTAGTGCGACGAGCGGAAGCCTGTGGGAGACGTTCCGAGTCGCACTCGAGCTCTTGAACCGGTCCGACCTGGCGGCCAAGTGCGCCAAGCGCGATATCGCCCAGTTTGACCTCACCGACTTTGTCGCGCCGCCAGCATCTGGCCAAGGTGTAGGAGAGGTCGGCTACGACTTTTGAATGCCGCCTCCCTCGCCGTGAAATTCAAACGTGCCACGTTTTGCCTAGCCATGTGCGTGTGTGTGAGCAAAGCACGTGTGTTTCGAGTAGACAGCCTGTCGTCAGTGACAAGGGACGGCAATGCAATTGCACCGACGACCGGTGAGAAAAGCGGATGAAGCCGGTGTGTGTGAGGGCGCACCGACGAGCAGCGGGCAAGACCGAACGAAGCAGCGGCAGATGCGCGGCGGAGTGTCGAGAGAGAAAGGATGTCATCATCATGCCTCGTCCAAGTGGGGGATCGGCAAAGGACGAGTTTGTGCAATCGGCGCGCACTCGAGCCCAGGCAGACTGGCGGCGAGGTTGCACACTGCGGAGAATTTCGAGTGCGGAGTGAAGGTGCAGAAATGCGGAGTTTTCAATCCCCGGTTTTTGAAGATCTGCTGCTGCTGCTGCCGCCGCCGCC